AACACAGCACAGAAAACCGTAGTGAGATTGGAACGAGAACGCTCCTCGACGTGATGCTGCATGTACCTCTCGGACCTCGGTATAGTCCTAGGTATAGAGTATGAACTCGGAATTAAAGTAATAATAATAAGAATAAATCATTCATTAGCAAATAAACTACTATCCTTGCTACAAACATCGGATGAACCCAGACAAAACATATGCGTACGCAGCACTTGTAATCTCATAGATTCTGTCCCGCAAAATCAATGTTTGATATGTGTAACTTGATAGTAATAATCATACCAACAGCATGGAACTCGCCAGAAAACGATGGCGGCGGGCGGCAGCGGGAATCGCGGCGTAAACGCTTGTGGTCGCGTTCTTCCGCTCTCTCTCGCTCCGAATCAGATTCACTGGTCTAGCTTGAGTTCTTGTTTTTACATTGTACAATGGCTAGAAAATGTACTATATGCTGTGAAGCTTGTCGTTCCAACAAAAAAACGCCGCGCCGAGCGACCAGAACAAATCCCTATGAGGCTCTTGGCAACTTTCTGCCCGCCGGGACTCTCAGCTTGCAACTCATCACTACTGATCTTCCATGCCAACACTGCCACTCTGAGGATGGTTGGCACAAATTCCCGGGGTATGCTGCCTTAAGCCCCCTCGTCTCGGCGGAGGAGGAACCTATCATTCAACAGCTGGATTTCTTGATCGCGAATCATTTCATTGCTGCTACGTGCTTTTCTACGAGCTCCTCTTCAGGTCCTCTCGCTCCCCTTCTGCTGAGGATATATCTCATACCATGGGATCTTGCGGGCGTACAGGGTGCACTCCGTGTGCGCGCAGAGGGCACAATAACAGGTCCTGCGAGACACTATATGCGTCTACTTTTGCCGCAAATCAGGCAAGACGATCGTGAGTGGGAAGGCGGCTTTGTTGTGTCCGACGATAGTAAGAAGAGATTTTTCTGCGATATTGTAAGTGTACCGAAAGATACTTGAATGATTTCCGTCGTTTACTCTGCACTTTATGTTAATCCAGGACAATCGCAGAATGACGGAGATCTATGGCGACTTACCATCTCCCAAGCCCTCCGCTACATACGACGTTCTTCGCAATATTCAAGGTATGAAGAGCAATCTTTACCGCTATCAACGGAGATCCGTATCTACTATGCTGTCGCGCGAGCTCTCTCCTGGCGCCATGCCTGATCCCCTGCATATTAAGCTCACGGGTATTGACGGCTTGGTTTTCTTCCTGCAACCGGCGTCGATGGAGATTTTGCAAGAATGCCCGATGGTGTCACAGGCTCGTGGTGGTATATTGTGCGAAGAGTTAGGTCAGGCCAAGCTTGCGTCCGGTGCCATCTCTCTGATTTCAAACAGGCACCGGAAAAACGGTGATGATGCTCGCCCTCATCTTGGCGACCCTTGATCAAATCTCGAGTCCAGAAGAGGCTGTTTACGATCCCCGCCCAGTTTTGACGCCTCTCTCCTACCGTCACTTCCCGACCGCAGAGCCTGCCACCTCTCGCAGACGGATGGCTCAGGGTGGCAATACAAAGCGCTCAGATCATGAATCACCGACTCGCATCCCGTCCCTGGTCGAGTTTTTATTGCACTATTGCCGTACGCGCCCTGACGGGCTTCATCTACGTGATTATCAAGACCGTCTTGAGCAACAACGTCTGTGGAAGCCACTCATGCATAATAACCCGTTTTACCATCATTATAACTCACTTAATCCGGAGGTGATCCGTTCCAATCGTCGACAGATAAATCCAGGCCCGAAGGTGATGTACCTCAGTAGTGCTACATTGGTGGTTGTGCCCATGAATCTGTTCAATCAATGGAAAAATGAGATAATGAAACACTGCCATGACACCCTGCGTGTCCTGGAGGCGAGAACTGGTGTAGCTTTACCGTCTGCCCAACAGCTGGCAACGAAGTATGATGTTAGTTGATTTCAACATATTCTTTTCTCAAGAGCTAACAGTTATCTAGCTTATTTTGATGACCTATGAACGTGAGCCCCCACGCATATCCACCGATATAGCTTTCGTAGCGGCGTATTTAGGTCTGTCGCGAGAATCGACGAAAAACAAAGTTGACAAATTACATACATGGACAACGTGTACTTGCCACTCCAGCAAGGGTATCCGTATCCCAAATTGCTCGTGTAAGGCTCGGGAACGTGTTGATGGGGTCTCTCCTCTCCTCCAGATCCGATGGAAGCGACTAGTGATCGATGAGGGGCATATCTCCGCGTCGTTGTCCACAAATCTCACACCTTTCACGAAACAGCTCAGTATCGAACGCAAGTGGATTGTGACAGGCACACCTACAAGTTGAGCATGTTTGTCTTCTGCTCCTCGCCTAACTAATTTCTGCCACACAAGCGAACCTGTTGGGTCTTCACTTTGGGCAAGGAAGTGAACTGCAGTATCCGGAAGACTTACATGAAGAGAAAGAGTCCAGTCCTGAAAGCAGCTTGGCCACCAATAGCGTCGGGCGGCAGTGGACGTCGGATGATCGAGATGACTTGGGCAAGCTATCGAAGATGATCACCCACTTTCTCGGTATGCCACAATTTGCGGGTGACCAGCGTGCCTTCGACACGTGGGTATCCCATCCACTCCTCGAGAGCCCGTGTCCCAGGCCAGGTGCCATCCAAGTTCTCACGCAGGTGATGAGTAGTGTTATGATTCGTCATCGGTGAGTTGCCAACCTTTGCATATGCGCCAAACTCAAAGTTCGCAGCATCGAGGACCTCGAGGACGAGGTGCTCTTGCCTCTTCTACAACATGATACGGTCTTGCTCGACTTGGACCCATTCGCCCTCAAGTCGTATAACATTATGCAAGCCATGATTGTGGTCAACGCTGTTGACTCAGAACGCAAAGACCAGGTATGTTTTCTCGGTGAACGATGACACTCATCTGCTAATGTAATTTGCAGGATTACTTCTTTCACCCGACGGTAGGGGGACACATTTCTTCCCTATAATATCATAGTAACTCTGCTGTAGCAACAAGCAGCATTAAGACAGCTTGTGGACAACATGTCCCAGTCAGTGATCGCGTATCCGTTTCCGAATATCTCTCACATTTATCAGAGTCATGTTTTGGCGCGTTGACGAGGAGATGCGCATCGCTGCAGACATTCTCATTAAAGAATGCGATGACCATATCCAACGTGCACACAAACGTGGAATTTCCCAACAGGACTTGTCACTACTGGAAGAAGCGGTCCAGCATGCGTAAGTACTCATGCCGGTTGAGCTACATCATATGCTCGCTGACAGGGTTGTAGACGATCCGTCGCGGATGACTACGTGTGGCGGGGAATGCAAAAGCATATTTACGTCTTCCATCGAACTCACGCGATTTCCACCGAAATCTACCAGGCGTGGACGCCGCTCTCTCCCAGTACCTTTCAATCGTTCGATTCGGTACTGACTCCGGATCGGATTGGCAAACTGCGAGAATACGTGATCAGACACCCAATGGCACCTATACAGAATATCATCAGGCGAGGGCAAGACATTCGCGAAGAGGAGCGTGAAAAGCGATACCAGGAGATTGTTTTAAGTAAGAAGAAAAAGGATCCAAACGATACCAGGCGCAAGGAGCGCGAGGCTGTCAAGCAGGCAGAGGCCTTGGGAAAGCAAACAGAGCTTCAGCAACAGCTCCTCGATTTGCCTCGCAAGCCTCAGACGGTATATTCCTACGAAATTAAGAAAGACTTGGATAGCGGGAATATCAAGCTGGTCCAGCGCAAGGTTCTAGGGCAGCATACCCCGTCTCCCCTGGAGGGATGGCGGTTGGGTAACTCTACGTCTACGAAGCTTGATTACATTTTGAAAGAGGTATGTTCTCACCGCTATCAAAGGCTTGTCTTGTCCATGTCGTCTAGGTGCTGCAACACTCGCCCTCAGAGAAATTTCTCATATTCTCTAAATCTGCTCTCTCGCTCGCATACGTAGCAGAAGGCCTGCAGCTCATTCGCGTCAAATACCTGCAATTCACATCGCAAGTGAACGCAAAAGAGCGCCAACAGCGAGTCATCACCTTCGAAACCTCAGATTTGTACAGAGTCTTCCTTATGGAGCTCAAGCACGGTGCGCGTGGCCTGTAAGTGGTCCCCCGCTGACTGACTCGCATCCGACCTAACGCCACGTCATAGTAATCTAGTGTCAGCATCGAGGGTGATTTTCTGCGAGCCCGTGTGGCAGGCCGATGTTGAGACGCAAGCTATCAAGGTGTGCCAAACGTTCCCTGACAACCAACGGATGTGTTGCTTAGCGCGTATTGCACACAGCGTGTGCACCGTATCGGGCAGACCAGGCCTGTCATCGGTGAGTTGCGGTCCATCCCACGTTCTGCTTCCGTGCTCAGGAACGCGTTAGTGAAAACGTTGGCCATAAGGTCCACGTCCGAAGAGATGATGGTATCGCGTCGCGAGGCCCTCAAAGGCAACGGTGGAAAGCAGCCAAACTTTACGGACGACTGGCGCATACGCGATTTCATAGCCGTGCGTCCTATATCTTGACGGTTGACCAGTGCTGACGCGCTGGATCGTCTCGTTTGTGCAGAATCCCAAGTTCCTTTCCGAGTCATCGCACCCAAGGCTCAATATTGATTTTCCCCTGTTCCCCGGCAGTCACCACGATGAGGATGAGGAAAGCGAATCGAGTGATTCAATGGCAATAGCTCAGAATGAGTCATTGAGCACCCAGCTCCCTTCAGATCCCACACCAACAGAACCACCCCAGAAGAAGAGGCGAGTTGTCAGGTTTGCTGATGACGCGTAAAGCATGGTTGCGATTTTCCGGTTCGCGTCTCCGCTGGAGTACGATAGATGCATTGTGCTGCTAAGTTATCCGTTCAGAATTCGTATATACCATAGACTGTAGTCGTGCCACATCATCTAATTCACACATTGAACCATCAAAGTGAATCACTAAAATGCCAAACACCATACATAGATATAACACTTCAGTAACCAAGAAACGTGCCGAGAGAAACGGCAGGAGAAGAGCGAAAACGAAGAACCAGGCATTACAGTGCAGGATTACAATGGCTGGTAGGGCGATAGTATGTGGGGTCCAACGCCGGGATATAAAAAACACATACGCAGCATAAATTAAAACAGTGTCACAGTTGAAGTCAGATTCCACAGCTGAACAGGATCCACGCAATAGCTAGGAAAGAGATAGGCTGTCCAGCAAACTAGACGACGTCCCGGATGCAATATCTACAGCAGGCGATCAGTCAACTGGCGAATTGAGCAACTAGCTACCAACCTACCTGCCTCAATACGGTCTCTCCATGGTGGTGCTCTGCGGAGACACGAACGCGAGCTGATCGTCCCGGCTGCGCATTGGTGGGGCCATGCCCATCCCGGAATCAGCGGAGGAGCCTATGGCCGTGCTTGCGCGGTTACGCTGCAGAACGTCCTGTGGGACGACGCCCTGCGATCCACGCATGTTGGCGCACAGCGCCCATCCATCGTCGTACTCTTCGAGAACCCGGACCATCTCGCCTGCGCCAACGGCAAGCTCGTCCACGAGACTGGGCACAAAGCCATTTCGAACGAGCGCGAACGACACGCTAGCCTGGCGCGCGCGTGCGTTGGAGGGCGTCAACGCCGGGGGGTGAACTCTGGGCGAGCCAGTGGGAGTCTGAATGTGCGTGGGTGGTGGGACCGCAGGCGCAGGCGCAGTGTATGCGTTATTATATTGCGTCGCTAGTGGAGCAGGACCGCGATATTGAATTGGGACGGATGCGGGCACGTTGGCGTAGCCCATGGAGGGATCGTGATATTGTACAGCCTGCGGTTGATTGTCATACATGGGGGAGAAGCCACCATTGTTATTGTAGCCTGCCATAGACCGGACGGCAGCGGCTGAGGGCATTGACTGTTGCGCAAGGGCTTGCGAGGGCGGGATATATTGGCGCCTTGCCTGCTCGGGGATAAGCTCCCTCCTGGAGTTATGGGTATTCGTACTGAAGCTAGTACTGCGATCAACAGGAGAGAGCGGAGGCTTCTCCACGCTGGAAACGCTGGGCTCGACGGGGTCCCGTCCAAGCCACTCGTTCATGCGACGCTCTTTGCGGTGAAGACAGCGCTTCCGAATAATGTAGATCAGGATGAGGAAGACGAGAGCTCCGCCACCTACGGCAATACCTATGATGGCGCCCGTAGAGAGGCCCTTGGATCCAGACTGGCCACTGGAAAGGGAAGAGCCATTCGTGGGGGAGGCGCCATTACCTGTGCTCGACGAAGTAGTCGCAAGAGAATGAGCGGAAGTTAAGGTTGAAGTGGTGGGAGAAGTCGCAGGGGAAGTAGATTGACCTGAGGTGGACGAAGTGGTCGGCGAGGAAGAGCTCGACGATGTTGAAGTGTTAGAGGTGTTCGTGCTGGTTGACGAAGACGACGAGCTTGAAGAGCTTGAATGACTGCTGCTGCTGCTACTTGTGGAAGATTTTTTGGAGGACGTCGAAGTCGATGTGGTCGTGGAGGACGACGAAGATGTTGGGGTCGTTGTGATGGTCACCTTCGTGGTAAAGACTTCCGTCGAGAGCGAGGTCGAACCATTCTTAACCTTGGTCTCTGTCTGGGTCACAACAGAGTCAGTGACCGTGGTGTCGTCTTTGGAGTCGCGTCTGGCGACGGCAGGGGGACTTGTCGAAACCTGCTGATGACGGGCCCGCGCGGCGGGGGATCGCTTTGAGCGGCGCATATCTGGGAGTAAGGAGCGTGGTGCCAGGAAAACAGGCTAGGACCGTTAGCAATGTACCCGCAGCGCCGCACTCGCCGTCGCCGTCGTCGTCGTCGAGACTGCTGTCGCCGTCGATAGCAGTGTGTGAGCAGATGGCTCTGATTTTCCCTCGGCCGTCTTCCGCTTCACATGGTCACATGCCCAATCTGGCTGCGAATTAATTTTAGCTGGTAATGCATGATTTGCAATCACCTAATTCTGAGCTTGTCGGCCGCTGCCCTCGGGCCTCAACCGGCTTCAAACATTCAAATCAACTCGTCTGTTCTTTACAAACGGATACCTGTCTCTGTCCCATATATTCGGCCAATGAACAGACCGAGGATAACCAGAGCGTGCTGAGCCCAAGTCGTCAGATACTACTTATGGTTGATCGCCCTCGGCCCCCGATCCGCACAGCAGCCTTGAATAGTTCATTGAACCCGCGTCTGTAGCCGACGACGGTCACATTCGCCACACCACTCAAAGTCGCGCAATATCCTGGAAATAGGTGAAACAGAACTAGTAAGATATATCGCAAAGGAGCGTAAAATGCACAGAGGCAAGCAATCACAGAAAGGCGAAAACCATCCGACAATCAACATACGTCAAGGAGCGTTCGACAGCAGTGCACGCCGGGAAGGGGTATCTTATCACATTTTGCACACTAGCCATAGCACGACCGCACCATGACCCATAACTCTCCGTTGTCTCCGCAGCTCTTTAGGATGCCCGGGTATTGGTTTGCTCCTTGAGCGCGAGCAGCTGCTTTTGACGGAAGGCCTCATAGTGGATCTGCGCAGTCGTCTCGATAAGGTCCTGTAAATGTGTCCTGATCAAGTAAACCATGAGTTCAGATACCCACATCAGAAGCAGCCGAAACTCGCACCTTGTGAGGAAGTTGCGCAGATAGACGAATTCACAGTGCTTCTCGTCCTCCACGTTAACGACGCCCCAGCGGTTCTTGCGGCCGCGAACAGACTTGCCATCTATAATCACGTTTCGCTCTGAACCGACAACTGCAAAGGGGATCATATTCTAGTCGGGACGTGAGCATTCGGCCAATCACGTTGCGGGAGTGTACTCGCCCTGATACTCTCGTTGAGCTGGACCTCCTCTTCGTCGTTCTCTTCCGTATCGAAGGGGTACAGGCGAATGTTGTGGTGCACAAGCTCAGCCCGAATCTGAACGGCCGTTGTCAATTGCAAGCCCCAAAGGATTTTGCCAGAATATGCCAACCTTCTGCTTGAAAGATTCTCTCTCCTCCATTGTCAAGCTGTCCGACTTGGCAATGACAGGGACAACATTGACAACCTCACTCAGCTTTTTCATGACAATAATGTCAATAGAGCGAAGGGAGTGGCCAGTTGGGTTGATGAAATAGAGGCAGCAGTGAATGCGCGTGTCCTGGATATGGCGGTCACGCATCGCTGTGAGCTCCTTGCGGAGGTATGCACTGTGCTGGTCCTTGATATATTTCACAATGGGATCCCAGCTATGTATGAAGACATTGTTAGGGTTGCATCCTTGCTGTCTAACACTGATGACGCACCAGTTCTCGTTATTGATCTGGTCGCCATACCCGGGCGTGTCAACGATGTTCAGACGTAGCCGCACACCATTTTCCGTAATGACTATACCGGTAAATGTCTAGAAAAATTCATCTGGAATGACTGTGTCGCGCACCATGAGAGACGGGGTGAATCTCTGTTGTCTGTCGCACAGGCTCGTCCGCTTCTTTCCTCCCCTTGGTGTCAATCAAGTGCGAAGCAAAAATGGTGTTGATCAGCGTGGACTTTCCCAATCCTGTCTGGCCTGATTTGTGTGACACGCCCGTTAGGAACCCGGGTACATCTATGCTTAGGACGAGTGGAGACACGTACCAACAACGATGACATTGAACTGGAAACCGCGCTTGAGCAGCTTGTGCTCAATCTGCTGGGTGATAGTGTCGAAACCAACATAGGCATTGGCACGGATTTCCTCTACTGTGGGGGCGGCCATGGCTGAGCTGGTATACGACGGGAGGGTGAAGCTGCGAAAGGACCAGGAGGCAGACGACTACTCGCTCTGCGGACGTCGCCAACGCGCTCTAAATTCGAGGCCACGTGGGCCAGCGCTAATGTTTTCCGTTTCAACTCCCGTTGCTCGCGAGCGACTCGGTTCAGCTCTCGGGCGGCAATATAAAGTAGTATAAAAGACATTTTCATTTATCAAAGCATGTTTTACGCTGTCCCCTGCGGTCGTCCACTGTGGTTTGGTGCGTAGTACGTCCCCTCTTGCATTGCTCGCCGTGCTCACCCGCCGCTTGCACTTCAGCAAGGGATCATGTCTTCCGAGCTCCCCCAAGAACTCGTCGACCAGGTCATTGACCACCTCTGGGATGACTTTGTCTCGCTCGCGGCGTGCAGTTTGACCTGTCACGCGTGGTTGCCCTCCAGCCGCACACACCTCTTTCGCCACGTCGACCTGGACAGTCCCTCGGCGTGTTTTCGCTTCCAGCAACTGCTCAAGACGTCCCCGAAAATCGCTCCATTTGTCCGGAAAGTACGCGTCCGATCCTACTCCCTGTCGCAAAAACCCCCTGCTCTTGGGTACGAGGAGATCATGTGGGAGAGCCATGTCCCTAGGTTGCTGAGCCGGTTGCCGAGACTCACAGACCTCAATATCTCTTCCTTGAATTGGGGGACGCTTCACCTCACAGCCGTACACGGAGGCGCATTCCTCAGCCGCCTCGGGAGCGTCAAGCGGCTCACCCTCGCGGACGTGCATTTCGAGACGTCGGCACAGGTCCGTTCGATGCTCGCCGCCGCGTCCAACCTCGAGGAGCTCTACTTCGACCGCGTATACTGGAACAACTCGTCTGCGTGTGTTCCTTTGAACGCTCCGGTCTGCCAAATGCCGCGTATATGTACGTCGCTACTGCAATCACCGTTTGTTCCGACTTCCCGCGACACGGGTGGACGAAGGCTGCAGGAGCTCATGCTGCGCTCCGGCTCGCCATCGGACCTGGTCATTGATTGGTTGCTGGGTACGGGCGAGGTTAGGCTTCGCAAACTCCATGTGTCCTGGCGAGACCGGAGGAACGCGAAGGCGCTGTGCGCCCTCCTAATCGCATCGGGGCCGCACCTCAAGCATCTCCACATGGAACTTACGAATGGCGTGGCAGGACTGATGCAGAATGAGATGCAGCTCGGGCTTCTTACCTCGCTGCGTTATGTCCATTTCGACGGCCTCATCCTCTCAGATTGCGGCGACTGGATCACGACCATGGTTGCACAGCTTACTTCGCCTTACCTGAACCAAATGGAGATTTCGCTTCTTGCAAGATGGACCGACGATTTGTGCATGCTGGATTGGAACAAACTCGATGCAGCACTGTCTCGTGGATGCTTTGTAGGTGTAGTGGTGACGCTAAATGTCAATCTAGCGATATATCGCGCGAACAAGGAGGAAGACGCTCGCATGATTGTAGAGCTTGGGTTACCTGAGTTCCAGAAGCTGGGCACCTTGCTGGTCAAGTGTTCCTGAACTATTACCTTCACTTACTCACAGTTTGGGGCTCACTAGAAATTATAGATGTCATAAGAGTATGATTTGGTCTAATACGTTGCAATCTACAGATATACATATTGCTTTAGATAATGTATCTTGTGCATTACCCTCGAACTCCACTTCTACGATGCCAAGGAATTGTTTGGGGACTTATTTATTGTGATCGCATCTTGAATAGTACATATACGCCTTGAGTGGCCTTGCAAGATCTTTGCATGAGATTTGTGTGAGGATTCTGCGTGCATGGCTCTCCTGAGCAAGTTTTGCTGAGGTCATGTTGGCATTCATGAAACAGGCAAACAGGCACTGATCATTACATATTTAAGATCCCTTCGCCACAGCTGCGCGTGCGCGACGTTACGGTGTCGATTCGACCGTGACCATCATTATTTCGGGTTTGTCCTGCATTTTCTCTCAGCTTCTGAGCCGTATGCAAGTCTGTTAGAATGCTGGAAAGTGTGTTTTATTATCGTGCCAGTGAGCGTCACTTTGATTCCCTTCTTACAGAGACTACAGTAATTTCCGCAGGCGGCAGTGGACAGACACGCTGAATACATGTGCATGCTTATTCAGACGTACCATTGCAGCACACTACCGGAGAGGTCCTCAGACTTCCAAAACACACTAGTGTCTTTGAACACCATAATGCTTGGGATCTGGCAGTACGAGTCCACTTTGCTGCTGTACATTCATTCTCGAGACGGCAGGATATGCGTATGTGCAACACTATAAATCGGGTTGTGTCTCATGCTTGAGCTCGCAAACGCGGCCCGTCTCAGGCAATCTTGCGTACGTTGGTTCCGCATAGCCTATCGGTCTATCTTTGACTCAAGGCCTGATGGAATGCACAAGCCATGCACCTCGCTGTGGCCAGTGGCTGCATGCGAACCACACTTATTTTTGCGTGCTATGGCCCAGTAAGTCGTGTACTCGGAATGGTTCCCCTCGTTTGCATGTCCCGTCTCCGCGACTCCTCAGTGTTTCTTCGACGGCCACTGCTTGACTGCTGGACATGTCTTGCTATTCCACACCCACCGCAACAGATTTCTCTACTTTCACTTCGACCGATGTCTCGACATCTTACACCACCACTATCACGCCTATTGACCCTATTGTCACGACGGTGTCATCATGTACGGTCTTTACTATTGAGACGGAGCCAGTCCGGTCTTGTGGAATGGTAGTGAGTACTGTTGCAGGTGAGTTCATGTAATGCCACCGTATGGCATGGCTGATTCCTTGCTTAGGAGGAACACAAAGCTCTGTTCAAGTTCCTGTTGTGATCACAAAGACTTACACTCAAAGCGTGGCGACTGCAACGCAATTTGCAACCGTATGCGGCTCTGAGCCTCCCTCTCAACCAGTGAGCTCGGACCCGACTTCGAGTGGCGTCTTCGGTGTCTCATCTTCTCCACCAACTCTCGCATCTGTTACGAACGATTCAAGCGCCTCGTTGAGTGTCTACGATACGACCATATATGAAAAATCCACAACCACATTGCTTGGAGGCTCCGTGCGTACGACCCAATTCATTTCAACTGCCGTCGTGACATCCTCCATCAACTCGCCTGCTGGTGTTGCGAACACAAATAATGCTTCAAGTGGCACGAGCACTCCTAAAAATTTGACTGGTTCAATCATCGGAGCAATAATTGGCGGTTTGATTGCCTTCGCGTTTCTCGCATACCTTTTTGCGAAGTTCTTGTGAGTCACTGTGGCAGCGCTCGTATATGGGGCAGCGCTTACTAACTGACAATAGCCGACGCAGAAAGAGGCACACACTGGAAGAGCCGGAAGAAGACGTAAAGTACCGTGAGTTGGTGCGCAAAAGACATGAACGTAAGGAAGATATAGACACCGATCGTACGGCTGCTCCCTCCACAGCAGGAGCACCGAGAAGTATGCCACGGAGGACAGAAGGGCCTCTGGCGACTCAGCATTCGCCGCAGATCCAGGACACGACACTCCACACCATATCTACCAGCCACGCACCTACCCTGCCCCCGCTGCCTCCCGTTCCCGCAATGCACAGCGACTTCAACCGGCCGCAGTTCGCTACACGAATGTCCGCACAAAGTCCGGCGCACTCCGTCACCGGCAACAGCACAAGTTCTTCGAGCTCCCAAGGTGCCCGCAGCGCCCCGCGCCCCGCCCTCCACGTCGCGAACCAGCCCGCGCGCGAGTCGTCGACGCCGCCGCCGGTCCCCTCGAAGACCCCCTCGCTGGTCGCGCGCACAAGCGAGAAGAGAGTCATTTCATCGCCGCGTCGACTGTCTGGACGGTCCCTTCCCTCTGTTCCTGTCGCAGGCCCCTCGTCGATGCCCATGCGGGGACCTTCTTTCATCCGCATGCCGGAACCCCCCGCGCAGACCAGCTCTCGATTCATTCCCCGGGACATCGGAATGTCACGCCCCATGTCTCCCCCCGGCCCTGTGGGAAAGGCTGCAGAAGCTGCCGCAGGCGCCGACAAGGCCGTGGAAGCCCCTCCCGCATACACTGAATGAAGCCACAATACGGTGGAAGGCGTCCCCGCTGTGTGCATATTTAAGCCCCCTGTGTGCTCGATGCTATATATGTGGGTCTGAGCGCTGAAGGGCAGTGGCGGCATGCGGTCTGTTAGTTATCACATATTATAATCGAATTTACTTTCCACTCATAACCACTGCTTCGAATTCGATGGCGGGGCTATATATATAACTCACGAGTCAGTCACGAACACACCCATCGTCTCTTCTCTTCGAAATACAATTGTGGTTCGAAATTAAGTCACCAACCCTTACACCCACTCCGAGTCTCGTACCCAGCATGCCCAGACGTGTCGAACGTCTGGGCACGAGACTAACACCCACCCGCGACGGACGGACACATAATTCTCAGAATCTCCGCTGGTGGCTGATCACTGCCAACGCAGAATGTTCCTGTATCGCCGTCTTACATAGTAAGTAGACCTAATGCAATGATATATATCTGATGTATAAGTGAAGCACTCAGATGAATTTGCATTAATCGTTCTGGAAAATCGGTGCAACGGAGATAGCAGTGCTTATCACGCGGGACTGCATTCTTGCCCGTCCATCTCAGCTCCTCAGACCTCATATACTAAATGCTGCAACCGAGCCTCATCAAGCAAATTGCCATCTGCCCCGCAGCAAAATCACGGGCGATGGCCTGCGACGTTCGAAATTAGACCGTGCTCGATTCATAACCTGGATCAGAGATTAATATGAGTCGCAGCGGTCCGCTCAACATCCGTTCTGCAACGAGAGCTCGTCCCTGAGCCCGGCGCGAGCGGGAATCTTCTCCATACATGCTGAAACGCGTCTCTAGACAGTAGTATCGGCGAGCGAAGTGGAGACACAGGCAAGCGCGATAGGAGCCGTTTGCCTGATCATCTCAGCCGCCGTCCCAGCGCAAGAAACACGTCTGATGCCGATAGATTGCATTAGATTGCATTCCATGATTCGATCCTTTATCCCGGGCGCGGACGAGGTCCACTTATCGCGGCTGTGGGGCGATAGCAAGATACATTTGCATACCGTATCTGTGGTGCCAAGCGATGCTAGGAGAAACGCGCGCTTGGATCCGCAGCTACGGAGGTGGCCTCCAAGCTATTCGAATTCGTTTTCGCGGGAAGGTGGTCCTCTCGGTGGCTCATTTTCACGTGCACGGGCCGACGTCGTGCATAGGAAAGTGGTAGCACCCTGATTGATGATCCCTCTTGAATGACTATGTGAATCTTGAGTGACTATGTGAAACGTCCGGGATGGTGTATGGAAGATGCGTTACGAGAGGTGAATGGAAAGCAGTACACTGTGCACCTGAAGATGCGATACCACCGGGTGCCAATTGAATACCACATACCACAAGCGGTATTGCAGAAGATTTTTCAATCCTGACGTCACCCACATGGGCTCCTGATTCACGGGTCTGCTGAGTGATGGCAAGTACCAGGACACGTACGGTGATTAAGTATTTGTCAGGAGTTATTTGGTGTTGAGCAGACCCAACTGCTATGATCAGCTCATAATAGGCGGTCATTCGCTGCCGCCTTGTCTGCGAAATTGATACATCGAGTCAGGTCAGAGATTCATCATCAACAACGGTCTAGACGTACCACTGTGGGAGCCTGAGCAGTACCACTCCATGAAAACTTCGCCGAAAACTATGAGAGTTGGGGATATGATACGATTGTCTGAGTTGGGTTGCCCAAGGGGCCCCACCGGTTCCAGCTGCGGTAAAGTTGGGGCTAGACCTCCGGAGAAAACCCCCATGAGAACTATCTGCGGCAGAGAGAACGGACAGCAGTCGACTTGACAATTGCAAACTCACCATTCCTGCGCGATGGGATCAGTCACTGAGTCAGAGCTAGAGTGATGTGTTAAGCGAAGTGCAAAGTGAAAGTGAATCCGGGGGCAAGCGTTTCAGGACGATGTAACAGACCGCCGACGGCCGACGGTCGCCGGGCAACCATAAACGCTGCTGTTTCCATATATAGGAAAGCCACCAAGCTCGGAGAGACATTCGGAGATTCGGTCTCGGGCAGGGCTGCAAGTAGTCTGAGATAGGATGAACAATCCCAGAGTCTGTGAACACGGGAGATAAATGCATTTAGCGGCGTGCCGGGACAGTCGACAAGGATAATAATGCCGGCGCTCGCTGCTCATTTCCGTCAACAGGGCATCGATCTGGGCGCCCCGCCTCCGCCATCCGGTGGGGAAGGAATTAATAGCGAGAGCTGCTTCGAGCGAAAAAAAAAAACACGGGACTCGACGTCGTGAAGTATATCAGACAAGGTGCAACGGAAGAATGGAGTCTATGGTTGCAGCTGATGGACAGCTTGGCAAGCCTTGGTGATGAAACAGGACGCTACGAGCTCCAGCTGACCACATCAGCGTCCCAGATCTGTACAGATCCCCATCGGTCCCAATAGCAACGCCATGAGCTCGAGACGGTACGGCGTAAGTATAGTGCGTCGGAGGGGGAGAAGAGAGATCCGAAAGCAGCAGCGTTGGACGTCGGTGGACGACACGATGCAGGGTCATACGACTATGACGAACTTCGCACTATCAGCCGCACGACTTGGCGAAGACTTGTCGCACAGGACATATTATTACGCATGCGATCTGGGAGCCGAGTACGATTGGGACGAGCTGAGTAAGAAGTGAGAACCCCATCACTGCCTTAGTGGACGCGATTTTCCCAGATTCGGTCGCACAACATATGGGCTGCGCGCACGGCATGATGTAAACAGAGCGTGCCAAATGGCGAAGAACCGTAGATTATAGGTTGCGCACGGCAATCAAACGGCAAGGCAGCAATCGCAGGGGGTGGGGGGACGATACGGTCGCTTGACAATGGACGAGCGTGTCCCTGCAGAACAGTGTCGTGTCGTGGGAGTGAATAACCAGTGAGAATGCTGATCGCGCCGAATCGTCAATCTTCAGCCCGGACGGCGTCGCTTCCATGGCACGGAGCCACCGAAAAGCAGCTGTTGGGATATGAAAGGGTGCGATCGCGAGCCACATTCCGATAGATGCAGCGTTCTAGGGTCTGCACGCAACCATCCAAACTTCCTCACTTACGAGACGCACTATCGTAAGATCCGCAGGCAGCCCGGTAGGGACTGCTCCCCTGGGCCAGACTTGTCTGCGATCCAGAAGACACGGCGTGTCAGAGGCTGCGCGCTGGTGGGTCGTGCGGCTGCACCCACTGTGGCCTGGCGACGTAAACGCCCGACATGAGGCCGACTCGGCACACGACAGGGACACCCTCGAAGTTGAGAAGCATCGTACAAGATGCCAGTAAATACAAGGTCGCAAACCAAAATGAAGGCACATGACCTTTGGCGCTGAATTTCGGAGGCTGAGGCTTGGAGCGAAATTTGTCTGCGCGGCCGAAGCTCCGCAAGAGCCAATGGTTGCGCCGCTAGCAGTAGGGGCTATGTATGAACGGATAAATGCGTGGTATGCGGGGATTAGCTCGGCGGTGTTGCAACGGACGAGGGACCTGGGTTCAGTGGCATGATCATCAGGCAGATTCATTCACAGTAACAGGACTCACATCGACAGTCTAAGGGATGCTGCTGGCGCCGCGAGCGCTACCGGAAAAAATAGCCTTCATCGGAAGCGTCTCCATGTTTTGGGCTAAATCCCAGGGTGACTAACTAGAATATGCTCCGCCAGAGTGGGGTAGTGTTCGGCCGTGCTCGGATTTCGTAGGGCGGCACGAGTGACATTGAATACTGACCAGGGGTTGATAATCACGCGACTCTACGGCGTACTCGGGATCAAGAGAGGAGCGTAGTGAAGGGAAGACACATGATGCGCCACGATGAAGGGACGTCTGCCATATCCTTGTTCTTGCTCAATGGGGCGCCAGCCCGAGGGTCAGGAGACAATCTTTAGCCCGCCAGGCATCATGACCACGACGCACGGCCGCGCATCCAGCCAAAGGGGGCAAGGCTGGAAACGAGCTGGCCAGGCCGGCCGACAGCTGCACATTCTATCAGAGGGCGAACATCACCTGTGACCAGAGATGGTAAGGTACTCTCAGTTACAGAGTATTGGCCGTCGGAGAGCGAGCTGCAACGAAATGGTAAGCACACCAAGGATAGCGGGACACGGCGAGGACGTACTCTCCTTAGTCCGGAGTTGCGGGTATCGCCCCACGGGCCGACGAAATTGTCGCATTGGGAGTCAACAACACTGCAACAGTACGACCGCTGGGAAGATCCATCGAATGCGTTCAGACTGTTCAGTGCGTCAACCGAGGTGTCGGGCCAGAAATATAGCGTGATGATCAATATGCCGATTTTGACTCCGTTGCAAGCTGAGATCAAGTAGAGGGCTATGCCCAGGTTGGGGGAGATGCATCATGATGGCGGGAGATGACAGCGTTCGCCTACGAAAACACGGGGGAGACGAGCTCGGGGAATTGTTTACGCGGAGACCATGTTCCTGGGGTCGAAATTCGTCGAATGACTGAGAAACAGGCAGAGGACTTGCCGGACGGAGGAAGGTGTACGGGTACGGGCATCGAGCATCGAATGAAGAAGGAGTATGTCGTAAGATTTGGAGATGAAAGCGTAGATTCAAGGACGAGTCTGAACGTGTCCCGCGGGAGACGGGTATAGGGAGGTGAAACGATAAGCTACGATCATCTTCATCTGAATGAGGATTCTGGGAGGATCAGCATGCTGAGTATACGTAGACGAGCCTGAATCAGGCTATCATCGATATTACACATAATTGCGCTGGGACATTCGCGAGGAGAATCTGGGCGATGTCGGTGCAGGGCGATCATGGGATTCATATGCGCATACCTGGCGTTGAGTCAAGTGCACGAGTCCGTAAGGGGGGCAAATGCCCGCCTGATTTCATCGAGACGCAGGACAGCCCTGGCCTGGAGGTGGCGATGAATGATTTCCTCAAGAGACAAATGAAATCGGTGTGGGCACATAGTATTTACGAGACGGAATCGAAGCACGGTTCTGCCGAGAGATGAG